CCCCCTCCATCAAACTTAGCACTTGGCACAATGCAGTCAGGCAAGTACTGTTCTCCTGGCACATCCATTGGATTGCCAGACAGAGAAGCGTGATTCGTCACTCCAGAGAACATGTCACCACTTCTCTAGAGCCCACTGCATCCGACGCTTTGCATTGCACTTGGTAATGTAAGGCTTGGACGCAGCTGCTCGGCCATGGAAACCCATTCCATGAAGCTCTCTACGCACTGTTGTTGTGCCAATCTGAAGGCCACACAAAGTTTGAAGGTCTGTAACTATTGGCTCTGCAGATAGTTGGCGACTTCTGTGCACTGTGCGCTTCAGCATGCGCTGACCCCGCTCTGTCATTTTATGTGACCTACCACTTCGTGGCTGAGTTGCTGTTCCCAGTTGCTTCCACTTTGTTATAATACGGTACCAATAACAGCTGACAGTGGGATATTTAGTAGCAAGGAAATTGCTTTGGAGGGGCGTCCCAATACTTTTGGCAATATAGTGTGTGTGTGTGTATATATATATATATAAATTATTACAGGCACAAGCATTGCTGGTCTGATTACACCATTGGAGGACATCTGTGAGCGATTGGAGCTGAGGGCCCCCTCCCATGGTTAAGGGAATTGCCTGATTTGACCTCTTGCTGGGGTCTATCAATAAGGTGAGCACCCGTATATCTGGTGTGGTGCATTTGGTGAAGGAACAAGAAATATTTATCACTATTGCTATATTTGGACATTTTTGCAGAGTTATGAAGATTTAAAGACTTTACACCTGATTTGATTTTTATTCACTGACATTTGTTTGAGTCACTAATTTTTTATACTTTTTATATCTGATCATTGTTGTAGCTCGGCACATTTAGTTATTCATTTTTTCACGTATAAACACTCACAGTGGGTGTGCATTCCAGTGCCTTGTAGCTGTCAGCTTGCTTATTGGCGCAGTTCATTTTCTATATATATTATTTACATGAGGAGGTTGGCAATTGCAAAGTGTTGGGCAGTGTTGGCCAAACTAAAATTAACTTTTTATACAGGTTGGCAATAGCAGCAATAGCCACCTACATACTTTTTCTCAGGGCAGGTTTCCTTTAAGCTTCTAAATACACAGATATTGTAGGAAAAAATGAGGAATTCTTGCAGACCTATACACACCTACTCGAGCGTCTTTGGCCCCCTGCACTCTTTATGGCCAGCGCATTGCATGTACAGTCACATATGTGTGTTGTGGTGCACTGATGTGCAGATGCATTTCTTTATACTGTATATGTGCATTGGGGTGCCATTTAGAATGAATGACACGACACAAATACAACGCATTGTGCTGTGGCGTTAACTTGCATGATAATAGGTGTGAATACAGCCCAGGTGAGCCAACTGCATTTTATGTTTAATATTCTTTTTAGGTTGTAAGCCCTCCGGGGCAGGGACCTCCTTACCATCTTGTCTTGAATTGTATTGTGATTGTAATATCTTCCTTATATTGTAAAGCGCTGCACAAACTGTTGGTGCTATATAAATCCTGTATAATAATAATAATATAATAATCTTTTGTTAGTTTTGCACAGAAGCGAACAACAGAAAATACACTTTTGGTAACAAAGGCTAAGAGCTAAGGGTATAATAAAAACACATCAATAGTATCAGACAGGGCAAAGCACCATAAAAGTACAAAAGGTGTACCAAAGGTGTACCATGTGCATAGGGAATTGGCAACATAGCTAATTGCATTTTATTTTTTTATGTAGATTTTGTTGAATATTGTATTTCACACTATGATGGCTGGTAAGTGTGTATGTATGTATGTATGTGTGTGTGTGTGTGTGTGTATATATAATATATATATATATATATACAGTATATATAGGTTCATATGTTATAAAAGCAGAGGGAAGAAACATTTCAGAACTTGCTCATGGTAAGCCGGATTGTCTTCTAGCACTGATTTGGCTCAGTACAGTTGTGAAAATGTTTAACTATTATTATAGTTTGTTTTTCCTTTTCTTTCTAGTATTTTGTCTGGCATGTGTAGTGTTTATCGGTTGACTTCCTACGAAACTGGTGTGAATCCCCTCTATTGAGTCACGGGCACGTTGTGGTGTTTACAAAGAGTTAATGTACAGGATGATGAGCCTGCGGTACAGCCTCTGCACAATGTCGTACCGCCACGCCTAAGGCACAATGCCAGCCAATCAGAGAGCAGAGGCGAGCATTATAAGGCACAGTCCCATCTACTGCAGGACAGAGACAACTGACAGCAAAGATACAGACAAGTACAAGGTGAAAGTCAGACTTCTGAGAGGTAAGTGCTACCCCATGATGTATATTACTACAATGTGTGAGGATATATCCTGATCTGGGATGATATGAACAAGGTTAGCATGTTGAAGACTGTACATGGAAGATATTATTTTACAGAAGTCCTAAATTAATTACCATCAATCATGGATATAAGGTATAGAATGGCTCCAGATCTGCTGCACTGATGCAGGATTAAGCTGACCATACACATTACAATCAGACTGAACAATCCTTAGATCTACCAACAACAATGTATTATAAGGCTCTGCCTAATTGAATATAAATTGAATGTGTTGTTTAGGAGGGCACTCACATTACATAGCTTTTGATTGATCCAATACTCACCACACACATTACAATTTGATTGTACATTCTCCTTTAGATCTACTAACAAATATGAAGTATAAGGGCTTGCCTGACTGCATAAAAATTGAAAATGTTGTTTAAGAGGACCGTCGCATTACATAGTTGTTGATTGAACTAAAGGAGATTGTAAAATCAAAAACAAAGAACAATGATGAAATTCCCACAATAGCCTCTATGAAGAATAATGCAATGTAGCATGTGTAAATTGTAGAATCAGATTATAAGGTGTATAGCCAGCTTTACACAGACTAATGTTTCTCACCTTTTATATAGAAAGCAGGGTTACTAGCATTCCCCGGTACGGTTCATTTAAGCTCAAGACCCCTTGCCATGGCAATGTTCTTACTGATAGTAACAATTTGCATGTAAATCTTTACCAGATGTTCCATTACGGGTTTTTATTTAACACATATCTGTGTCGTGTCAGGTACATAATCTGATGAATGTCTAAAGTAGATGTACTAAAAAAAAAAAAAGCAACATAACAATCAAAACCAGCAGCTGCAGAAATGCTGATGTCCCCATAAAGTATCATCTTTGAGATAACAGCTTAAAAATATAGAACAAGTGATATCTTACTATTACAATGTAACCAGTTAGAACACTTGGAGAATCTTTAGCTGACACTGGGGTTTTCTATAGTAAACTGGATACAGTGAAGGGGAAGTTATCAAAACTGGTGCAGACAGAATAGTTGTCCATGGCAACCAATCAGCTTATATATAAATATATACCGTATAATACTAAACAATCATACAGCCTATTAAACTTTCTGGTCAAAATAATCAAAACTATTAGTGTATTACAGAATATGCAGCTGAAGACTTACCAGAGATTTTTTGACAACAATCCAATATTGCTTCATATGGGACACATATACTTTAACTGGCTGTTTGAACTTTATTCATATTTTTTTGGGGAGGGAGAGGGGGGGTGTCTGATGAACATACAGTATAGCAAGTCATTCCCCTAATATTTTAATGAGTTCCTCTACAAACATAAATACTTTTTATGGTTGTCATATAGCATGTCATCGCAGACACATTAAGTATGTGATTCTCATTACAGGAATAAAGAGATCACACCAAAGAAGATGAAGCTCATCCTGGCCTTAGCCTTTGTTTCTGTGCTTATTAGCGGACTGGAATCGGTAAGTTCTCTTTGGGCATCATGTATAGTATCTTTGTTTTCTGCTGCAATATATTCTGTTACTAATGAGACTTTCTTTCTTCTTTCAGAAATTGCCCAAATATCCAAGCAATACAGAAGGTAGGTAGTTTGTGAAGAGGAGTTATCCAGATCAAGTATAACCAATATAAAGGCTCTATACTGTATACTTCCATTATCTCTTTATGCACTCTGTGTTATTGGGCCTCCTAGGGGAAGGACCCATACTGAGAACAGCAAGCTACATTTGGCTGCCCTAAATTGGCTGATGGCATTTCTGGTGGCTGATCATATAGGAGTCTACGTATAAACAATTTGCCCTGTGAATTTCTGTGAATGCTTATTTGGGGTGAATACTGGCAAAAACGAATGTTCTTAATTAATTTTTCCTGGTTCTAATGCATTGTTGTAATAGTACATCATGGCCACTACATTGTTTCCCAGTTCAAATGTAATTTGTTGTATTGTATAATGGCCACTAGATGGAGCTGAGGAGCATAGAAAATAAGTACACACACACTACATTAGAACTGGGAGTCGCCATCTAGTGGCCATAATGTCAATATTACAACACAACGTCTTTGACATTATTTGCCCAAAATGAACGTTCACATATATTCACAGGGCGAAGGGTACTGACTTCTGAGAATTGTTTATAAATAGACCCCATAGAGATCTTCCAGCATAATTATTTCCTATGCTCCTCAACTCCGTCTAGTGGACATAATATATTACATTACATTCGACCTGAAGAGAAAATATACTAAGAACTTTCGCTTTTGCCTCATTCACACAGAACAAAAGTTCACAGAGATTCACAGGGTAAATGGCTCTGTGAATTGTTTATAAATAGACCCCTATGTGTGTGATCACAGGAGTGTTTAATGCTTGGATGTGCTTATTATTGCCATCAAATTAATGGTGCATGTATTGCCATCATTATTAATACTTTTCAGGATTTAAACAAATTCAACATACGTTTTTCCTAGCAATGTACCTGCTGCAATGCGATTTTTCATGTAAAAAAAAAACGTACGTCATGTAAGGTGGCTTAATCAAATTGACTATGACATATTCATGTTCCTCATGAAAACATACACATGGTATTGCATTATATTTTGTTTGTTTATGTTCATGTCTTTATTTCCCTTTCTTCAGAATGTGTCTGCTTACATGGAGGAACCTGTGTGTATCGTAGAACCTACCAGAGATCCTACAGATGTTCCTGCCCTATGGGATATAGTGGACAGCACTGTGAAAGAGGTACAGCTAATCACTTAATTGCTGCTGCTGCTGCTGCTGCTGCTGCTCTTCCATTAAATACATTTGTGTGTGGTTCTGAGCTCATAGTGACACTTTTCTTACAGACTTGCTAGCTAAATGCTACAAAGATAGGGGCCAGGACTACAGAGGAACTGCATCCAAAACTACTAACAACTATAACTGCATGCAGTGGGACTCTCCACTCTTGAAAAATCATTATTTCAATGAAAACATGAATGATGCATTAAAGCATGGTCTAGGCAAGCACAACTACTGCAGGTAATGTTCTACATGTCTCAATGGTTAAAGCCCAATTCAGACCTTGGAAATAGATATGCTGTCAGACATTATACCAACACCATTTTTATAGTCTTTGTGTAGTGTGTCTAAATATGGTTGTACTGTCCAATAGGCACCAGAATTACAGATAGTGCCTTCAGTAATCAGCACTCAGAACTGGTCTAACACGCCCCCTTCTTCAATACAAGTCTATGTGAAGAGTGTGGCTACTACTCAGCTCTGCTAGCATAGAGCATTGGAGCAGGAGGGAAGGAAGTAGCATTTTTTTCACTGAGAGAAAATAGTCTTTTAAGACATTTCCAAGCAAAATTGAAAAAAAAAGTAACTTGTGAGGGTTCAGGTCATGATTGGTTCAGGAAGAAATAAAAAGGTGTGAGCCCTAAATTGGGTTTTAAGCCATTAATTAAATTACTGCAATACAGACAAATTGGAATTTTATTAGCTCAGTGGAGAAAAATGACCGTTGCTTCTGTTGGCAGAAACAGCACTGCGTACACCAGGGGTGGGCAAACTCCGTCCCTCCAGCTTTAGTGAAGCTACAAATCTCATCTTGCATCTGCCGATGGGAGTCATACCTGTTGCTGTCAGAGCCTCCTTGCAATGCCTAATAGGATTTGTAATTGCACCACAGCTGGAGGGCTGGAGTTTGCCTACCCCTAGCATATACTTTCTCTCATTGTGAAAAGTGGAGGTGTAGCACGGGTGCAGAGATGGGGTTAGTAGGAGGGGATATGGCTTTGCTTCAAGGGATGCTCATAGGAAAGGCATTATAATTTTGTACTAGGGAGTCTAGCTAAATCAAATCAACACTATTGTAGAGGTCCTTTGCAGTGGTGTTTATGTAAATGAAATGCCAAAGGACACATTCACCACAATAGCAACCGTTAATAGTTTTAATACACAAAGATGAAAGACCCAAACATGACTATATGAGAAGTACACAGCTACTGACAACCCTTTTTGCAATATTTTCCTCAGATATTTACTGAAATCAGATATTTTGGTTAATCCTTTTATAGAGGTTATAGCGCAGCCTTCATGTCTTTGTATTTCCTCTCTTGCAGAAACCCAGAGAATGGAATGAGACCATGGTGTTACTACCGGGGACCCAAAGGGGTTTCAACTATGTTTTGTCAGATCCCAAAATGTGAACAGGAAGAGACAACAGTACCGACAATGGTTGAAAAAACAGGTAGGTGTTTGGAACATAATTGTACCTTATGTTGTCAGTCTCCGTGTAGTCTCTTATCTATACTAAACTTCCAAATAGACATGTGCACCAGCAAAAAATTTGCGTTATTTAGTTTTTCGGAATTCGGTTCCGAAAGTCAATTCGTTTCGGAATTCTGATTCGGACGTAACTCGTTAGCGGTAGTCTGCACGAAATTTCGTTTAAATTTCATTTTGTTGCCGTTTCGTTCGTTGCAGCAAAGTGACATTTAAGAGGGGAAAAAAGGTTTTTTTTCTCAAATGTCACTTTGCTGCAACGACATTTCGTCTAACAAACGAAATTTCGTACAGACTACAGCTAATGAATTTCCGAATCTCCAAATGTCCGAAATTTCGTCCGAATTTCAATTCGGAATGAAACGAATCGCACATGTCTACTTCCAAATATGCTGGAACATTTGGCATCATCATCTGTAGTTAGGCAGTTTTAAACAAGCCTGGCTGAGGCTGTATACCAAATACAGGTTTGTGTTCTATTTAACGTATGACTGATATCTTTGAATTTGTGAATGAACCATGGTGACCTTAGTCTATTTTTGCTACACAGAACCTTCATGTGGCCGACGTCAGCATAAGCTGTATAAGATTGTTGGTGGAATGAGCAGTCCAGTTGAATCCCAGCCATGGATAGCCACGCTCTACCAAATCAGCCGCAGAAACAAACAACAGTACTTCCAGTGTGGAGGAAGTCTTATTAATCCCTGCTGGGTGGTCACTGCAGCACATTGTTTTCCAGATGGGTAAGTGATTGTCCAGCATCCTTTTCCATCTAATGCACTATATTCAGTGTACAGCACACAAGGCAATATATGATTTGTAATTGGCTTCATCATTTAATTTCATTCATTTGTGAATGTGTAATTTTTGGGGGCATTTAATCACACAGGTGCAAAGTACAGTTACGTAGTAATAGCAAACTGGAAATCATATTTTACCTAATATGACTATATCCTAAACTTTGCACTAATGAAATAAGTCCTATATATGCAAATGACGTACACTAAAACAATGTATAGGCGCACTACTGTTTGATGGTCACAGCCTTTAGGAAATAGTGATCAATGGTGGTCAGTGTGCAAACACCTTATACCAGGGAGAGGACCCTGTACATATAACTGCAAGACAACACACAAAAAAATGTCAAATGACACAAGTGCAAAGTACAGTTAGTAATAGCAAACTGGAAATCATATTTTACCTAATATGACTATATCCTAAACTTTTGCACTAATGAAATAAGTTCTATATATGCAAATGACAAAACCATGATCTTCTGTATGGCTTGGGATAGAAGTTACCTATATTACGTAAAATGGACCAGTGCTTTGTGCCTGCAGGTAAATAAATACGTTCACTTTAATGGCAGCCCCAGCAGCTCTTTATACTTACCTTCTCATAGTTTTCCTACCTCTCTATTTGGCTGTTGGAACTTCCAGGTCTGATAGACCTAGTTACTTCCCCCATATGACAGTGCTGCTGTCTGGTAATTGGGAGTTAGGAGAGAGTCCACAGTCCTGTGTAAACTTCCAGTTTGGGAGCTTACACAGGGCTTCCTCCCTTTGCTCCTGGTGGCTAAATGGATTGGTGAAAAGTGAAAGTTATGATAAGTATGTGCAGCTGGGGGACCACAATTAAAGCCAACGTTTTAAGGAACAAGTTCACTTTAAGTGCACATAATTTTGATGTTCATCCTGCTTAACTGTTCATATTTGTGTTTATTTAAGTGAGTTTCCTGAACCCAAGGACTATGCCATCGTTTTGGGAAAGACTAACATTGATGAAACAAATGAGTTTAGAGAACAGAAGTTTTTGGTGGAGAAAATCATCCGTCACCAACATTACAGCGATCAGACAAATGCTCTGGACAATGATATTGGTAAGAGAGGCAAAAGTAGCTTAATATATTCTATTGAAGTAGCAGCAAATATTTTATTTGTTCTTGCACTGGAAAAAAGATTTTCAATAAGCTCTAGTGTACTATTAGTGCAAAAGATAAATGACGGCGGTTCACGTAATACCTAGCATATCAATAGAAATACTATGGGCTCCAGGTTTTATTGTCCAGCATGCTAACACTCAGAATCTGTTATTTTTTTAAGCACTGGTGAAGATCCGTTCGGAATCTGGAGAATGCGCTGCCATGACAGATCAGGTTCAGACTGTCTGTTTGCCACCATCGGACCTTAAACTAGAAGGTGGAACGAAGTGTGAGATTGCTGGATTTGGAAAGGAGACTTATGGTATGTTGATAAAGCTATGTTGCATTTCATCTTCTGATTTACTAAATTATTGTTGCAACCTTAGTAAAACCTTACCATGCTCATTTGCTGTTATTTTCCTTTCCTGTAGATAGCATTAAGTACTCTCAGGTCCTGAAGTCTTCTACAGTTCAAATAATCTCTCAGGAAGTGTGCCAGTCAGAAGAATACTATGGGAAGCTGATCAACAGGAATATGTTTTGTGCTGGAGATCCAACGTGGAAAGTGGATGCTTGCAAGGTGAGATTATAATTAGAACAGAACTGCTTACAACTGCTTTTACCACGTAAACTTCTCTTGGGTTCTCAATGCCTCAGCAACATTGCTCAGACATAACATGGAGATTGGAAATGACCAAATACTCCCTGCCTAAGCTAATAGTTTGGAAGCCTCAACCTGCCTATTACTCAAGGGAAAAGGCAACTGTAAATGTGGTATATCTATTTGGTATTAGCATTCTAAATGATCCTACTCAAAGGGTTACCACACACAGGACATTCTCCTTGAGATCTACCTACAACTTTGTAGTGTGAGGGCCTGTCTGATTTACTACAAATTGAATAGATACTTTAGCTAGATTTTCATATTACGGTACATTGCTCTGGTAAATCAAAAGTAGATTGTACAGATACTGTACACTCAGATTTTAATGTGTATGCTTAAATGCCTTATTTATTACATATATAGTCATGTACAGAGAACTCTGATCTCATTTCATACATCTAACCATCCATGCTTACCTGTTTTCAGGGAGATTCCGGTGGTCCTCTTATCTGCCAGTACAATGGTCAAATGGTGCTCTATGGTATAATAAGCTGGGGTGATGAGTGCGCCAAGAAAAACAAGCCTGGAGTGTATACCCGAATGACAAACTACCTGACCTGGATAGAGAAAAACATGGCCCAATCGGCCAGTGTTCAGGACAATTTTATTTCAGAATAATTGAAAAATACTGACGGAATGGACAACAGAGCTGTGAAGAAGACCATCAGCTGAACCTTAGCAGCCATGGGAGTCAATGTAAACCAGTTTGTAAGCTATTCTAAACAGGTTTGTGTTGAGATCAAGGTATCAGTACTGCTGTGGACTAGTGACCACACTTATGCAGTGTCTTGGAATCATGGCTATTATGGTCCCTCTGGTTCATACCTGGATACCAGAAACATGAGAAGACATAGAGACAATCAAGTATCTTCACAGACAGATGCAGCTGAGTTTGGTATCCCTACATTTTAGGACTCTTACATTTCAATGACTGTTTCTAGGCCGGGTGCACATCCCTAAACCCTGACTCTGGCCTTGATGGTAGTTAAATTGTTTTGAATACATAATGGGGCTAATTTACAAAAGAAATTGAGTATCTTTTTACAATAAATTGTGTGAATATTCACTTCAATTACTCAATCATGTGAAAACCAAATTCTTGTTTAATTATTTCATATGCCTGACTGAGTATTCAAAGTGCACAGGAATTTGTTTTTCATGTGATTGGATCATTAAAGTGACTATTCATCAGTCAAGATTCTCAACTTCCTTATTAAATCACACTCCTAATATCTAGGCATGTCATATGTTTGGAACTGATATGTTCTAGCCCTACAAAGTGAAGGGCTTTTTATGCACTGATACCGTATTGAACGTTTTACTCTATTCTAGTGATGATCAAATCAGCAGAATCAATGATAGGCTGTCTGATTTGTGGAGAATCTTCTAATTCAGGAATCCAGCCAATCATGATTCATGGCTCGTACGATTCTCCTCATATTGGACATATCTTCAGATGAATAATATATTCAACACAACAAATCTGCTTGATTTGATTATCATTACTCATTACCAAAAGGTGCTGTATAAGTGAATATTTTACATTTCTGTGTACATATTTTAAAACAATGAAGACAAACAGGGTACACCGTCCATTTCAAGATCTAAGTGACTGAGAAAAAATTATGTTTGCAACAAAAACATCAAACCTTTCTGTTTATGGCCAATACCCAGTCACAGTACAAGAATATATATATTTTTAATGGCCTCTTCTCCCTGACCTAATTGGGTCCTTGGTGCGAACATACCTTTTTTTTTTAATGGACCTAAAACGTACATTTATTTCATATTATAAGTGTCTAAATCATTTCAAATCCCATCCGAAAACGTATTCCAAACCTCTTAAAAATGAATACCTCATTTTCAGTACTGAAACGTTCTCTCTTGTGTGACATTCAAGTGCCATTCTCTTTAATGGGACTTGACTGGGACTAATATTTGTTTACATTGTTTACAATATCAGTCCTCATTTGGTTATTCCCACTAATGAAAATGGCAAGGGCATTGTACATACCGTATTCTTGATTATTTATGTTAATTATATAATTTATCTAATATTTTAATATGTATTTACTTAGAAAATAATCTATGCCATGTATGTAAATGTTTCTTTTTAAATCAGCAACAGCTGCAGATTTATTTAATAAGGCGGTAGCAAAGAATTGCAGTAGCCTATAGATAATAATATGACTTTGCTGTTCATAGAATATTGGAGTAGACTATTATAGCTACAAACTCTTTGAGTAGTCAGAACATAATTTAGAAGCAAATTTTCTACATTTATATTAGCACCAGCTTTTTAATATCCTCTTAAGGACAAGTGATAAAATAGCAGAAAGACCGCACGATAATAGCCGAGTCCCACCAGACGAGACCGATTATCATGCACAGGGTTGCTGGTTTAAAACAAAGATTTTACAAAGAACCATGGAAATCTCAGTTGCCACTTTTGTAAACATAAGACATAAAATCTGCTCCAAATCCATTATTTTGGAGGAAAGGTGGCATTGCTTTGTTCAATGTACTTTCAAACTGCTGGGCGGCCCCATGAAAGTTACTATTGTTTCATATTTATTGATATTACACTGTACATGTCATCTTTATGATTTAACCTGTCATTAATAAACTTTTTGTTCCTATGTACGGGTTGTCATTTATTTTGTGCTGAGATTTGTTCATGGTAGTCCTTAAAGTGGACCTTTACACTCAAAAATTAAATTCTACCAAGTCATCCCTCTATGTATGATGATTAATAATAACGTAGACATGTCATGTGATTGTGAAATACTTACACTTGCAGAGCATTCACTTGCTTTGAAAGGGCAAAATTACTTCAGTTTGGCAAAGCAATGCACACTGGGATTGCCTTGTCATCAGCAGAGCATTGCTGGGAAATCTCATCTGTAATCTCACGAGATCTCAGGGGAAGGCATTTTCCTCCCCTGAGATGATGTGCATGGTCACATGTCCTAGTCACGTGTCTAGTCACATGTGCCACAAATCCAGGAAGTAATAGGAGAGCTTGTAATCTGCTGTTAGTAAACATGGCTACAGTCAGAAAACTGGGGAAGAAAAGAGAAATAAGGTCAAGAATACAAAGCCGGCAATTATCTAGAAGTATCTGCTTGTAGATTGCCATTACTACACATTTCTAAAGGGGTGTTTGTTGTTATTTTAAAGATCTGGGTAAAGGTTCGCTTTAATGTTAAAATTCTTAAAGTGTCACTGAAGTGCCACTGAAGCCGAAATTTGTCTTCTTAGTTTTGGATAGAGTGAGGAAGGATTATAACCTCTGTCAGATTCATATTGCTGTCTGTGTCCCCGTTAGGGAGATTCACCCAAACTATTTCTTCTGGTGACCGTATTCACTGAAAGTTAAAGAAATTCCCAAATTTTAGGTTGTCATCAGAACAGGAATAGCTCACTTTAGGCCATTTACCTCTACTTTTGGTGACACAACAAGAAGTGAGACAAATGTTATTTAAATATGTGGAGATTACCCTTGTATTCTAGTTTGGTTCCCAGCACTTGGTCACCAGCAGGTATCAATGGTCACTAGGACATATAGAGAATAAATCTCCCCAGTGGGAAGAAGCCTTGCCTTTAGATATGGCCAGATTATTATGACCACCTGACGTTTGTAGGCAAATTAGCTATAATTTCGCGCTGAAGTTGCTAGAGGGCCAGACCATTATAAATAGGGAAGCAGGTTGTTTACCACGACAGTAGAAGTGATTTTTTTCTTAAGATATGGGTAAACAACGCGATTTAACAGCCTTTGAACGTTGGATGATTGTTGGCGCTCAAGCCATGGGGCGAGTATCAGCAAGACAGCAGAATTCGTTAAATGTTCAAGAGCAGCTGTTGTTAAAGTGTTTAAAGACTGGACTGTCAGACGAAAACCTGGGTCTGAATGTGCGAATTGTGGCCGTCAGCGACTAGCCAATGTTAGGGCAGAACGCAGAGTGACAAGACTGGTACAAGACAACAGAAGGGCAACAGTGCAGTGTCAGATTCTTCGTATCACCTTTCAACATCTCGTGGAGTCAACGAAGTCATCTCGTAGCCCAATGAAGTACTGATGGGGTGGTCATAAAAATTTGGCCAATCAGTGTATTTAAAAGAGTAACTCCAGATGGGAATAAGTGAGGTAAGATTACTTAAGCACATTATACTTAATGTACTTACGTAATGCATATAAGAATATATACCATTGATCTGAATGCTACTTATAAAGCGTATAACAAGACAAAAAAAATGCAGTAGATCTCTGCAATACATGCGCATTTCCAGTGTTTTATCACTTTAAAAACCCTGCAAGTACAGCAAAATACCCCTTGATGTGCTAGACATGCACTCTGCTCTTAAGCACTAAAAACACACAGCTTTTTTTTAAGGACTGAGTGGTGTCAACCCTGCCCATTGTCTTTTTGCTAAACTACACAACCACTCCCACACATATCTCTATAACATAAAGGCTGATCATTCATGCAGTGGAAACAGGACAGCTGTGAATTTGCCAAGGTTAACAGTTTTTTTTTTTGCACTTAGCAAACAGTTATAACAAAATTCTTCCAATGGTTTATTTAACAGATCAAAATGGAGCAAATAAGAGTCGTTAATTGCTAGGATTTACATACAGCATTTGCATGTTTATGTATTACAGCGGTAGGCAACCCAGGCCATCCAGCTGTTGTGGAACTACAAGTCCCATGAGTCATTGCAAGACAGCCACAGGCATGACTCCCAGAGGCAGATTGCCCATCCCTGATTTATTAGGTTTACCTTTTATTTTTTTTTAACTGTATCGAAACGTCACAAAGTAAATTTAATCATCTCTATGCATGGTAGCATGGTAATGCTTTTTGGTGCATTGTGTCATGCTCTGTAAAATGCAACCTTTCATACTTTTTTTCTGTGCACACCAACGCATTGGTGTGCTGGAACAATAAGATATAAGGCATGTTGTCTCATCTGTGTGTTGGGACTGTTGGTCAACATTGCCCAATGGGGCTGGTTTTAACAAGCCATTAAAGTGCCACTGAAGCCAAAACGTTATTTTTAGATTTGGATAGAGTAGAGAGGGATTAGAGCACCTGTCAGGTTTTATTGCTGTCTGTGTTAAGGTGCCCATACACCTGCTGATTATCGTACGATAATTGCGGGTGATCCCACGATCGTACGATAATCGGCAGGTGTATGGAAGGTGTGCGACCGTTTCTACTGTACAGTCGCACGTCTTTTGTCTCCCGGGCAGGCTTGAAAACTTGCTGATCATCGTACGATTTTCGGCGGGTTAGTGGCGTTCTCGGGAGACAAATGCCGAACGGGCCGTTGTGCGCAAGCGCACACTGCCCGCTCAGCATTTCAGTCATCGGAAGCCCTCCCCTCAACGGGAGCGGGCTTGCGATGATCGCAAGTACGATCTGCCTGTCCAAGATGGGCAGATCGTACAAGCTTTTAATTACCTTACAACCATCGTGCAACGAAAGTCGTGCGATGGTTGTGAAGTGTATGGCCAGCTTATGGGAGATTCCCCCTCTCTATTTCTCTAATTAAAAGGTAATCCCAAATGTTGGGTTGTCATCAGAACAGATGGGAAATCTGTCAAATGGGCATACTAGTTCTGCTGACGCCGCTGATCACCAGGGATTTCCCTTACTTTACAGAGATTCTCTCTGATTTCCTGTTGTGGCTATCCGACAAGAAGTGAAGAAAAGTCTCTCCAATGGGACACAGATGACATTGGGTCATAGCCCCCC